GAAATCCAGTTCGTTCAAGTTTTTAGATTTTTAGTAGGCCAGTGGAATGTACTAATAGGGATCGCAATACTGCAGTAGTCTTCGGACCCCATGACCCTTGAGTTAAATAATTTAACCCATTTCCTAACCATGGTTAAATAAAAATTTAAAGTTAAAACGGTCCAGATAAATTTGCAACCTCCACCTTTTCCCTCTAGCGCTCACTTATTTCAAGTTTTCTGTTCTCTTTCTCTCTCCCTCTCGAAACTCGCGTCTTATTTAAACGCATGCGAGCTCTCCCGAGTTTGCAGCACCAGAGAAGAAGACCGCCACTCTCCAAGCTCAAATACCGCCACGTGTTCGCCGGAAATGGTATTCTCCGGCAAACAGGTGTTCCCGGTGGACTACGAGGCCGAGGTTTCGCAACGACTGCTCGAAGCCTCGCTCTCCGGTGATCTGAAATCGGCGCTGGAGTGCATCGCCGATCCGTTCGTGGACGTTAACTTCGTCGGCGCTGTGCTCCTCAAAGCGAGGAAGTGTGAGTTGTTGCTGCGCGACGAGTCGGCGAGCGAAGTCCGCGTCCACTACCAGGAGTTCAAAACCGACGTCACTGCTCTATTCCTCGCCGTTCATGCTGGAAACGTCGCTTTGGTGAAGAAATTACTGGTAATGTGTACTTCAATATTTGATTTTAAACCGTGTGATGCCAAATCACTGTGCTTGAAGTTGAGATTTGAATGTTTTTTTGCTCACATCGTTGATCTTTCACCGAATTTGAAAGCATGCTGTGCTTAATTTGAATTATTTTGAACTGTTTATGCTTTTTTTGCGATTATATTGTTTGATTTGAAGCTGTTTGTTTGCATAGAATTAGAACTGATTTTGAAGTTGTATTAGTACTTAATTAAAGAAGATTGAAGTGTTTTCGGCTTAATCACATTGTTGAGTTTTGATAATCTGCGAAGCATTTTTTTTTGTGTTTAGAAAGTGAAATGTTATCTACGTTTTCAAATTAGTTCATGATCCAGCATTTGTGAATTTTTGTTTCAACTGTAACTCTGTTTTCAGTACATTGCGGGACGAAATTCACCTCGTTTTTGTTTTCGCTATGCTTAATTGCTCGCCAAAAGGGAAGAAACTCAAGAAATTACTGCTAAACCATATTTTTTGTATTTAGGATTTATACAGCCGATCCCACTTAGTGGGATAAGGCTTTGTTGCTGTTGTTGTATGTTATTTTTTTAGTACTACTTATGGATTTTAACTTTAAATCACTGCTGATCCTGGATGTTTGGAGGGCGGGTGACTATTCGTTCTCTACGTTTTGGAGCCGAAAGTTTGTGTTTTCTTACTTCGGGCATTGCTTTGCTGAAAATATAGGGCTCGTTTGGAAGTGTTTTCAAAATGACTAAAAGCAATGTTTTTTAAACCAATCAGAGTGTTATCTGGTGCTTCTTCCAAAAAGAACTATATTAGTTATAACACTTACTTTTACTAAGGAATAGTTAAAAAAACATTTTCACCAAAACCGCTTTCAATCATTTTAAAAGCACTTCCAAGCAAGTTCATATACCTTTATAAGATAGCTTCCATTATTGAATGGTCTGGAGATCCCACATCACTTGTCTCAAATTATATGTTCTGAGCCTGAAGTACATAACACTATGCTAAAATTAAACATCCCCCCTTCCCCCAAATTAGTGAACTGCTTGATGAATGTTCCATGCTTCTATGCCTATCACGTCAGATTTATTGCCCCATTTCGTCTGTATTTGTTTTCTGACCTTTTGTCTCCGACGAAAAAAACAATGTACCTGCTAGTGTACTAGCTTCAATCTTTTCTTCCTAGCCTTTACAAAGTTTATGTGGAAATTAAAGTGAAGAAAAGAGGTGGTAGATTGAATAGTATTATGTCTGTTTGCGGAATTGCTACTGTTTCTGGCTTTATAACATACTAAGGATTGGCGTTTTCTTGAATTACAGAGCATTGGTGCTGATGTAAATCAGAAACTCTTCAGGGGCTTCGCGACAACAGCAGCAGTGAGAGAGGGCCACCTTGAGATTCTAGAGATCCTACTGAAAGCTGGAGCATCTCAACCAGCCTGTGAGGAAGCTCTATTGGAGGCAAGTTGTCATGGACATGCTAGGCTTGTTGACCGGCTTATGGCCTCTGATTTGATTCGGCCCCATATTGCCGTGCATGCTATTGTCACAGCCAGCTGCAGGGGGTTTGCTGATGTGGTGGACACTCTCATGAAGGTAGAGCGTCGTATTCATTTTCCAATAAGATCTGTTCAACAACTTTCTGAATCCCGCAGCAGATAGCATTAGAGTAAAATAGGATTCAACAGTTAATAATTGCTTGTACTTGACATCAGTAAAAAAAGATAATCTGCCTGTTTAAGCTCAATGTGAGAAATATCCCATCATATATTAATAATCATGGATAAACAGATCTAATATCCTTCAGAGCGGTCTGGTGAAATACTGAATTAATTAGTTTTATTAGCACAATAACATTGTTCGTGTTGCTCAATTGCAGTGTGGTGTGGATGCAAGTGCCGCTGATAGGATGCTGCTTCAATCGTCTAAGCCAGCTCTTCACACTAATGTTGACTGTAGTGCACTTGTGGCTGCAGTTGTGAGTAGGCAGGTCCCAATCATACGTTTGCTGCTACAGGTGATTCCCACATCACTTACAGTTTTGCTTAGCTTAAATCAATGGTGATGCAGACATATGGACAAGTTTGGGGGGAGCCCGGTTATTTTACTGTCAATTATCCTGCATTCTTAAGCCTAAAATGTACCATTAGATTGATCAGATACGACCTGTCAATTACCCTGCATTCCTAAGCCTAAAATGTATCATTAGATTGATCAGATACGACCCTGAAAGCCATAATTTAGGAATAGTAGAGAAGTAAATTTCAACTGAGATTCCAACTGTAGGTCCCCTCTAAGGAGGTGCATTAACCTGGACAGCTGGATTTGTACCCTTCCATAGGGATAGAGTGGTACACATCTCTATGATTGCAGTAAGATCTAAACAGAAAATGATTCTGATTCTATCTTTCTGACAGGAAATAATACTGTTACTGTTTCATCTTCTGAATTACTACTCTCCTTGTATCCTTTTACTTTTCATTCCACATGACTAACAACCTTCGTTTGTTCTTTGTTCCAAAATTGAAAAATTAGGCCGGTGTGAGGACGGATGTCAATGTGAGGTTGGGAGCATGGTCATGGGACCCAGCTACGGGGGAAGAGTTTCGGGTTGGGGCAGGGTTGGCGGAGCCATATCCCATTACCTGGTGTGCAGTGGAGTATTTTGAAGCAAGTGGTTCTGTCTTGCACATGCTCCTCCAAGGCCTTTCTCCGGATACCCCTCATTGTGGAAGAACTCTCCTGCACCACGCTATTCTATGCGGTAATGCAGGAGCTGTCCGTGTGCTCTTAAGTTGTGGTGCCAATGTAGAATCACCCGTTAAAGCAACTGGTGGTACCAGGTTTAATCCGATACACATGGCTGCCCGCCTTGGTTTGCCAACAATCGTTCAATGTTTAACTGAATCTGGATGTGATATGAACTCCAAGACTGATTCTGGCGAGACAGCTGTAATGATCTGCACAAAATACAAGCATGAAGAATGTCTCAGAGTATTGGCGGCTGCTGGTGCTGATTTTGGCTTGGTTAATGCGGCTGGTCAGTCTGTTAGTTCGATTGCCAGGGCAGCTAGGTGGTCACTTGGTTTTCAGCAGGCGTTGATGTGTATAATGAGTGACGGAAAGATGCCCAAATCCAGCAACTTTTCTGTTTTCTCTCCCCTGATGTTTGCAGCTCAAGCCGGCGATATTGAGGCCTTGAAAGCCGTAGTTGGTTCAGGAGAATTTGACATCGATTATCAAGATGATAAAGGTTTCACGGCCGTTATGATCACTGCTTTGAAGGGGCACGTTGAAGCATTCAGGTTTCTGGTTTATGCAGGGGCTGATGTAAAACTGTGTAACAAGTCTGGTGAGACTGCAATTACTCTATCAGAAATAAGCCAAAACCGTGACCTATTTGAGAAGGTAATGCTCGAATATGCACTAGAAAAGGGCAATCGTTACGCTGGAGGGTTCTACGCTCTGCATTGTGCAGCACGCCGTGGGGATGTGGATGCAGTCAAGTTGTTAACAAGTAGGGGATATGATGTGAATGTCCCTGACGGAGATGGTTACACTCCGCTCATGTTAGCGGCTAGGGAAGGTTACAGTCTCATGTGTGAACTCTTGATATCTCACGGGGCAAACTTGGATGTCAAGAATGCCAAAGGCGAAACACCGCTTTTGCTTGCGAGGAAAAGCGGCGGTGGTTTGAAAAATGAGGCAGAGCGGGTGATACTAGATGAGCTTGCTCGCAAGCTGGTGCTAGGTGGGGCGCGTGTCTGGAAGCATACGAAGGGAGGGAAAGGCAGCCCTCATGGGAAAGAGATGAGGATGGTGGGAACTGTAGGGGTGCTCTGCTGGGGGAAATCAAACCGGAGAAATGTGATATGCCGGGAGGCAGAGGCGGGGCCTAGTCCAGCCTTTAGGAGGAATCGGAGGAGCAAGAGCGATGCAGATGAACCCGGAGTGTTTAGGGTGGTGACTACCAAGAACAAGGAGGTGCATTTTTCGTGTGAAGGCGGGGTTGAAAGCGCCGAGCTTTGGGTGAGGGGTATAAAGCTTGTGACCAAGGAGGCTCTTTCAGTGATCGGAGCGTCATGAACGTAGGTGACCGACGAGAATAACGTCGATGAAGTAGGATGGTGTATAGAGAGGTTTCCGGGAATACTTCGTCTTGAAGTATTTAGAAGTAGAGTCGGTTTCTTTTCGTTGTAAAGGTTTTGATCCCGCAGTTGTAAATCTGTTATCGTCAAACGGGACAACAAAAATTGAGCATTCGATAGCTTGCTTTGTTCGCCATATGGATTCCAAATTTTCAAAACGAAAACCAAAAATTTAAAACGAAATGAAATGATTACCAAGCGGACCATTAGCTGATTTTAATCGAAATGAGCTCACTTTATAAATATTTCCAGAACGGAGAATTAAGTTGTAATAAATACGAAAAACTAACGGACTCTTTAACAAAAGGGAACTCCGATAGAGCTCTTCGGAAAGGAGTGGGATCGAGCGCCAACCAGATTCGAAACACCACCTTTTAGCCAGAACTGATCTCCTTCTCCTTTGCCTTGCACAAGTCCTCTGCTGTCTTGACAAATTTTTTAGTCAACTCATCAACCTGGAAGATGTAGCCATTCCAAACAACCAATGAGCAATACAAAAACTTGCATCGTATCAATTGGGGCACTTGGAACCGTTAGATCCAAGTTGTGAACTGAAACTAACTGGATCTAACGGCTCTAGGTGCCAGAGTATGCCATACTCCGGTGTAGTACTGTAGCGAAACTTCATATCAATTTAAGAGCGGTTAGTTCTTAAGTTAGAGCTCACCTCTTTCTCCCATCTCTTTAAGTCGTCCTTCGGGTAGTTTTTGGTCAACTTTTTTATCGTATCCATTGCCTGTAAAAGAAACCAACAGTCTAGTTAATCGTGGTGCAAAGCTACCAAACTTAGAATCCGTACTCACATATCAAGCACGGTGGATCGTTCTACACCCCTTGTTGTTTTGGTCTTCAGTACTACTAATGATACATTTCTTCCTGAGACCACGAGACTAGAAACCAGGAAACTAAAGATTTAACTTATCGTCCAATAGTACTGGTAAAATTGATATCATTATAATGAATCATATCTTACAAAAAAAGTATTTTGAGTTTTACCATAAATAAACTTGCAATTGAAGCATGTGACGGTAAATGTTCAGAAGATGGTCTGGTAAATTTGTTAGACGGATATCGTGCAATGGTTAGGAGAATCAATGACCTGACCTTACGGTTTTTACGACTAAATATAGAGTAAGAACCGTGCGGTCTAAACTTCTCTGACTTGATGGGTGGTGATTATCAAAACTAACAAAGCACAATCTTGCAGTCGCCTCAATCTCGATCATATATGCATATATTAAAAAATTGTTCTAAAAATCCCTGCCTAGCACCGCCCAGAGGGCCTAGGTGCTAGGCAGTTGGCCACCTCCCCGATTAATCCACCTAGGCCCCACCTAGCTGCCTAGGCGCTAGGTCCCAACCCGCCGCCTGACTAGTGCCTAGCGTCTTTTAGAATCTTAAAAAAAACAAAACTGACTTCTGTTACCTTTTGGCGACCTCTTCGAATACTTTGTTTGCCATCTTCAGCGGACTTGGTAACCACTTTACAAATAGCCTGGTGGAAAATGTTCACTGATAAGGTATGGTAATTATCAGGCAAGGCAAAAACGAAGAGGGGAAAAGCAGTTGTACGTCACCTGAACATGCTCTTTCGTCAATCTGGACATCATAAAAATTAAAAATAGATAAAATTAGTCAAGTAATGAAACACACGGCTGAATCCAAGTTAGCTTGGCGAGTATTTTCGAGTTATTATTAAGAACTAAGAAGCTAAAAAACTATGAAAACCAAAAATTCATGACAGCATAAGTGACAATCAGATGCGTGCTTACGGAGGAATTGCTGCAATCAGTCGGTCCCCATCAACTTTAGGATTTAACCCCAATGGAGATTCAACAATGGCAGTCTCCAAGTTCGATAAGGCCTGCACAAGATCGTCACGTTATTGGAATATTTTTACCAGAATTGAGTTAGATATATCACTGCAGACGATAGGTATGGTAAGGATCTCGCTTAATCCAACCCGAAGAACAGAAAATGTACTTAAGATTTACCAAAATCAAAGGTCACTACATACAAATACAACACAATGTTACTGAAACGCGCTTGCATTGCTTCATTACCGTGGGATCGAAAGGGTTGATGGATAAAGTTTTCGAATCAATGACCGAAACAGCGGCTATCTGATGCAAGGGCAACTTCACACCGCCGGTTTCCACAATGATGTGATCAAGCATTCCTGCACAAACATTTCAGACAACTTAGAACAATAAGAACCAAAATTGAGCAAATGAACATCGATTTGGCACCGGAGAGACTGCGAGTGTACCAGGAGATGCTCTTCCGGTGCGCAGTTTGCTTAATTCCGCCGTTAGCGCTGCGATCGCCGCCTCCATATGCGAGGTGGCATTTGCCTTGATCGTCGGCCCCATGTTTGGCAAAATTTCAACTGTACTCGCAGCCGATTCATCTTCTTTTTCTTTTTCAGAAAATGTGCAAAAAATTTGAAAGATCGTATCAAACGAGTGCAATTTTAGAAGTTACATTTGAGAGAGAGAGAGAGAGAGAGAGAGAAAGAGTGAGAAGGTACTTTTATTGCGGCCTTTGGCGAAGCCTCTGCGGCTTTCTCTGACGAATTCAAGGGCGGGAAGAGATAAAACCCTGTGCGGTGACGCGGAGTTGCATTGCCGGAGCTCGCGACTGAGCAGCGCGGAGCTACGGAGGAGAAGGACGTTCCGGAATGAGAGCGTGCGTCTCAGAAAGATCGCCATGGGCGGAGCTCTCTAGGGTTTTAGATTTTTGATAAACCCCCGCGCGCAGCGAGGCCTGAGATTTGGGCCTCCAAGCCTGGGATTTGGGCCTTAGAATATAGTAAGTTCATCTCCAACCGACTCGGCCAAATGGCTAAAAATAGCTCGTTTTGATACGAAAATCGTCTCCAACCAAGGACTAGACCAAAGGGCTCGTGGTTCCCACCTGGAAAAAAATGGGAGAACCGGCAAAAGGGATGGCCAAGAGCAGCCAGCCCACTAGCCTTATAGCCCAGCCCTCAAGTGCCAGACTGTCAAGCTTGACATTTTGCCAGCTCTCCAGCTTAGCCCATTTGAATGCCAACGGCTACCTAGCATCAGCATGACGCCAGCTAGTAACGGCTAGCTGATGTCTTGCTGTAGTTAAGTTACCGTTGGAATTTGATTTTTTTTTGACGAAATTTAAATAAAAACAATTCTATTTTTTTTCCTATAAATACCTAAGTCATTAATACACTATTTCTCACATATTTTTCACCATTCCATACTATCTTACCTCATTTTATTTCAATTCTTCACATTCTATTCTCTTACCTCTTCCAATAATCTTTCCTTTATTTTTTTTCAATAATTTTCAAATGGCCACATCTGCAATGAAAGGAAGGGCTTGGACCCGAAAAGAAAATGAAGCTCTTTGTAGGGCTTATAGATGGGTCTCAGAAGATAGTGTCAATGATAGTTCTCAAACAAGTGAAGGTATTTGGAGGTGTGTGAATTCTACCACAATATCTAGCCAATTTATTAACATTGGAAGTTGAAGATAAGAAGTACCACATAAATACGAATCCTATCTAGAATTTATCCGAAAAATTATTAAGATTACATAAAGATAAGAAATCTGGAGAGTTACTCATTTTAGAGACACATGTCACTCGAAATCTTATCCGAAAAGTTATTGAGATTATATAATGATAAGAAATCTAGAGAGTTATTCACTATAGCGACATGTTTTACTCGAAATCCAATAAAAAAAAATATTGAGATTATATAAAGATAAGAAATCCAGAGGTTTATTCATTTGGCGACAAGTGACACTCAAAATATGTTCGAAAATTTTATTTTAATCTGGTAGTTTAATTTAAGTAACCATATTAATTAAATTAAAATAATAAATTACTTTTGGCCTATGATCCTTTGGTCATCTCGGTTGGAGATGATTTTTTGTCAAATGGCTATGTTTGGCTTATGGCCCTTTGGCCATCTCGGTTGGAAATGATATAAAATATGGTCTGATAATGTTTATTAACATATAATTTCTTGCAAGACTATCGGGCTAAAAGGAGTCTTTTGACCCTCATTCAGTTACGTAGACTAATACGCCCTTCCTTAAGAGAAATGGTAAAGCATCAATATCTAACTTCTAAAGGGCAAAACAGTAGAAGGCAGAAGCTTACCAACTATCTAAAGAAGCGTTCGGCATAAATTACCGAAACCTAACGAAAGACATTCGGAATTGTTCTTCGAATATTGAAAGCATCATGAGGCTCGAACAGCATCATATTGGTGGTTCGGTATGTTTTATTTTTTGTTTGTTTGAATACATCGATATTTTTTTGTTTGTTTGAATACATCGATATTTTTAATTAGGAGAAGAGAGAGTTCAGCTAAGTCAGAGCAATCTAATTTAGTATTATATTCGTCATTCACGAAATTTAAACCTAAAATATCTCGTTTCTAAATGAAAATGAATACTATCAGATCGTACTATTAACCGAATAATCAGGTTTTGAAAGCAAATCAGAGCAGATTTTGCACGTGGCAACAACACACACTACTCTCACATCATATCCAAACAACAAGAGAGGCCGAGAAATCCCCTCGCCCCTCTCTGCTTCTTCTCTTGAGCTCAAATCCTCTAAATTCAATAATTTTGGTGATTTTTTTGTTGGATTTAAGCTGAAAAATGGAAACTTTCTGCGCTATCCGCTTCGCCCACTTCACAGCTCCACTGAAAGTATCGTTCATCAGCACCAGGTTTTCACTCCACTATCCCTCAGCTTATTTATGCTTAAATTTTGTGAGGTTAAAGCTTACTTTTTTATCTTCTTTGGGTTAATAAAGCTTAAATATTTGTTGAATATGTGAATTCAAAGCCTTGTAATGGGAAATGGGGTGGTGGAAAATTTGAAAATTAGAGTGACTAATTGCATGTTAAGACATTTTTAAGTGGATTTTGTTATGGATGATTGTGGTAATAGTGTGGTTGAAGGAGGCACGGGTTCGATTCGTGGAAACAACCTCTTTACAAAATAAGGGTAAGGCTGCATATGATAGATGTTTCTCCCGACCCTCGCAAAGCGGGAGCCTTGTTTGCTTGGGTTCGCCTTTAGTGTGGTTGAAAGGAGGATTAGAGGGATGGTTAGTGATTCTCGCATCAGTGAAGTGTTGTAATAATGCTAGCTGAGGAGAGAAGGGGAAGAAAAAAAAAAGTGAAAGTTTATTGGTAATGTATTGCTCGTTGCCTTGGTGAATTGGCGCACTACCAACTTAGATGTGGTTGAATGGAGACTAAGGAGTAAAAGATTTCATTGTGATTGTGAATTGCTATAATTTTGTGATGGGGAAACTAGAAACTAAAAACGAAATGGTCATAAAACGAGTCCTAAAGCTTAATCTTTGTTCATATGTCAACTCAAAGTCTCAAACCCTTTGTTATAGGGAACTAGGATGATGTAAAAATTAAAGTTACCTACTTGCAGACAGATGTTTTCAAGTGGATTATATAACGGAGATTGGGATAATTGTATAGTTGAAAGTAGGACTTGGGGGATGGTTAGTATATTGGCACCAGTAGAAAGAGGTGTCAAAATGCAAGCTGAGGATAGAGAGGAAGAAAAATGAAGATATATTGGTCATAAGTTAACACTAATGTGTTTGTTATTGGTGCTCGGTACCAACTTGTATATGGTGGAAGATTTCGATATTTCCAGATTGCTTTCTGGAAGCATCCAATGTGATTAAGCAGGTCATGATAGGCGGGAATTACGGTGTTATTTGTTAGATTAAGTAGATTTTGGTCGGCCGGAGTTATGGTGTTTTTTGGATTATTTTCTCTGTTCTCTTAAATAATTGTCATGATGGATACTGATTTTATTTACTTTTTCTCCAGGACCAGACTTGCTTTCCCTCAGAAACTCTTTTTCTGTCAAGCGAGGTTTGGTAAGCAACTGTTTATACACTCCTCTAATGCAGCCTTTGTAGTAACAACCATATAAGCAACCAGTTCTGCACACAGTTTATCTAGTTCTGTTTTTAACCAATACATATCAACATTTGTACAGCTGACTCGGGTGTAGATGGCTCGTTTAGCTTAAAATTGGTATCTCCAGCTCTATTGGCAGCTGAAAAAGAAGAAGCTAGGGCTGTCCTAACCTTGTTCCTAAAGAAACAAGGGCTTAGCCCTACAGTTGCTGCGAGAACCATCAACAAGTCAGAGCATTTCGTTGACCACCTGGTCGATAGACTTCATTCTGTGCATAAATCCCGGTATCTAGTAGGTTCGAATTCAACATGTTACTTCTTCTCCCTTGATCCAGCTTACGTATATATTGTAAACTCTAAATTGTTTGATCAAATATTCTTGTAGGACGAGAGCTAACAACTCTTGAGATTAGGGAGGCCCTAATCCCTTACCTTGAAGCCCTTCTTGAGGAGCATGAAATGTTTTTGGTAGATGTGGTGGAAAGCTTTCCAAATGAACCTGTAAAAGAAAAGCCCATTGTACCAGTTACTAAATCTCAACCGTCTGTGGATTTGAACTTGAAGAAGCTAAAGGCCATTTCTCGAGTAAGTGAGATAGGCACAGCTGGGACGCTCCCACCTCACATTGTCTACCTTTTAGAGCTTGGCATGGATCTTGATCAAATCAAGGGAATTGCACGCAGATTTCCATCTTTTGCGTATTACAGTTTGGAGGGGAAAATAAAACCGATTGTTGAGTTTCTTCTCGAACTTGGGGTCCCAAAATCTGATATCCCATCAATCCTTAACAAGAGGCCACAGTTGTGTGGAATCAGTCTATCCGAGAATATTATACCTACCATGAGTTTCTTGGAAGGCCTGGGTGTAGACAAGAAACAATGGGCAAAAGTGATTTACCGCTTTCCAGCGCTTCTCACTTACAGTAGGCAGAAGGTGAAGACAACTATAGATTTCCTATATGAAATGGGACTTTCAGCTGAGATGATAGGTAAGGTTTTGACGCGCTGTCCGAATATTATAAGTTACAGTGTAGAGGACAAGTTACGGCCAACGGCTCAGTACATTGTCTCATTGGGGGTGGATGTTGGTGTTCTGCTCCATCGATCTCCCACGGTTTTTGGTCTTAGTATTGAGGCCAACTTGAAGCCTGTAACACAATTTTTCGTTGAGAGGGGATACAGTATGGATGAAATTGGGATCATGCTTTCAAGATACGGAGCTCTGTATACTTTCAGCTTGGCAGAGAATCTGGTACCGAAATGGGAGTTCTTTTTGACCATGGATTATTCGAAATCAGAGCTGGTTAAATTTCCTCAGTATTTCGGTTACAGTTTGGAAGACAGGATCAAACCAAGATATGCACTTATGAAGGATTGTGGAGTGATGCTGCTGCTGAACCAGTTGTTATCGCTGTCCGGTAGTAACTTTGATAAGGCTCTTGCAAAGAAGATAAAGAAATTTCATGCCGGGAAAGATCCAAATACAAGCAGCGATGAATCGGAGGTTGAAGAATGAAACTCCTGAGCATGATATGGTAACAACACAGGGTGCACACGCGCAATATGAACGCAGATGCAGTTCAGTTGCCACATCGAAGCTACAAATGGATGCTTTCACCGAGCAATACAATCAGTGCATTGTTTCTAAAGCCGGATAATCTATGTGATTCTTCTCAGCTGCGTCTGCAGACCGGAGTTATTCCGGTGTTGTCAACTTTCCGTTAAACTTGAGAGCAGATCATGCGTTGCTGATTGACATCCTCCAAATGAACCATCTGCCGCTGTAAAACGTTTCCCTTGCTTGCATATTTTATGTACATTGTACCCAGCAATATCTGTAGGAAGGCTGGTTCTGCATTGATGTCAATACATTTTGTAGTAACAGACTAACAGTTGCGTCGACACAGTTTCAACGGTCGTTCTTTAGATTCTCGTTTCATAGCGGGATTATTAACATCTAAATACCATTGTGTGTTATCGTTAACCAAGTACTTACATGATACATATCTTAATGTTTTCACGATGTTTCGTGTTTACAATTGTCATTGTGACTTTCCGTGCTTATAATATTATGAAAGGTGATGTCACGATGTAATTGATGAAATGTGTAAGTTCTTATATCCGGAGAAAATTTTCAGTGTGTCGGAACATGTTTGGTATACAAAGTATCATAATACAATTGGTTGGAAATTAAGTTTTCAATTAATTATATTTTTACACTTAATATACCGATTAGTGTTTTAACACATTAAATTTTTCTTATTTTTTGCACACTGAAAAATCTCTTCCGTACTTTTTGTATGTTACTCGCGCCAATTAAGTTTGCTTTTCAAAAGGTCAGCGCACAAAGTTGCAGTCCTTTCCGGATTGGTCTGGTTAAAGTTGAAGGTGGAAAGACACGAAGTGCATGAGTTGGCATTTTCTGTCGGTTAATTCGGAAAAGATTCTTTTCGGATTTCTCCCACCTCTGAATCAAGTAATCCGAACTTTTAAAATTAGTTATAAAGGTTAAAAATTATTATAGCTTTTAAAATTTTTATACTAACTTCTTTGTTTTTAATTATTGAATTAATAGGGCTGTATTCAATTAGGACTTTGAGAGATTTTAAGGGATTTATAAATTTATGAATTTTTATGGAGTTTAATTGATTTGTAGAGATCTTATATGGGGGTGTATTAAATTAGGATTTTGAGAGATTTTAATTCTTTTAATGAATTCAAGAGTATTCAATCATGATTTTAAGATAGTTTATTAATAGGGAGTTTTAACGAAATGTCCATTGTACTGTTCACTTTAAAGAAAAACCACATTTTTACACTAAAAAGTCAAATCTGGTACTATTTACTTTACTCTTTATTTTATCCTTATCGTTAAAACTCAAAATTTTCAAGCATTTTTCATTAGTTTTCCTTTATTAAAATACTTAGAAATCTAGATGTATTCAATTAGAATTTTAAAGAAATTTATAAAGATATATTCAATTAGAATTTAAATTTAAAGAATTTGGAAAAGTTGAGGAATTATAGGGAATTGGAGATGTTTTGTAGTGTATTTTAAGCATCCATAAATCTCATATCTCACCATGAGATTTCGAGAGAATTAAATCAAAAGTTTATATGGAATATCTACAAATCAGTTAAACTCCATTAAAATCTCTCAAATTCCTAATTAAATACACTCTCCTAAATTTTAAAGGGAAAAAATTATTATAGCTTTTAAAATTTTTTTACTAACTTCTTTGTTTTTAATTATTGAATTAAATTTTTAAGGTGCGAATCATATGATATGGACTTTGAAGTCTCTTTCCAATTCAAACAACTCTATCTATTTATCGTCTTGGTCCTGGCATTGTTTTGTCTTTTCCCATTTTTGCATAACGTTTTAACTTTGGATTTACAAATTCAAATAATTTCCCTTTTTGTTTAAAATGTGTTATTACTTAGTACACCTTTTTACTCCAAAAAGAAAAGAATCTACGTTGAATTTTTTAATTCTAAATATGGTATTGTCTTATCTAATTTATTTTTCACTCCATCATTTACTAGTTTCTTGTCAACGCATACATACTTGTTCATTAATTGAAAATTAAACGATTTAGATATTATAAAAATTTCGTATTTTTTTTTTAGCCTTCACTCTATAATTTTTTTTTAAGGAAAATCATTTATGTATTTGGAATGTAATGGTGTATCATATAAATTTGGAATCCCACCAAACATGGGAATTAGATTGTCACCTACCCAATTTGGCATCCCACCAAACTAATTACCAATGTAAATTATTTATTTTGTACAAGATATAAATTATTTAAATCAATTCAAATTACGAACATAAAGATTCAAACTCACGCGTTTTGGAGTGAACACATACGTCTTAACCAATAACGCTACGTCCACTGCTACACCGACGATTTCACAAATACGAATCCTAAACACCCATTTTTTGTCCAATAACCTAAATGGGTAAATGTAAACAAATGATTTTAGTAATTTAAAATTTAAATTTTGAAAAATACAAAAAAAAATCAGTAATTTTGTTTTCTTTTGATCTGAAGGAAAACTAATGAAAAAAATTTAAAAACTTTAAATTTTAACGATAAGAAAAAATAAAAAATAAAATAAATAGTATCAGAATTAATTTTTTAATAAAAACGTATAATTTTTCATTAAAATAAATAGTATTAGAAGCTTTTTTGTAGGTTACTTAGCCTGAGGGTTTATAAGGCACACAACACCGCCAGTCGACCGTTTCTTCACTTTTTAACTCCCTCCCTCCCTTCCTCCCGTGGCCGGTACATACATTTGTCAGCAGTTTGCTGACATAACCGCTGTCCTCTGTTTTCTTTCTCCTTTCTCTCTCCGACTCTCAGAGAGAAGCAAGTACAACAACAAATCGCAGAGACTGAAAAGCTTGAAGCTTTTCAAAGGCGACGATGTTCTACTCGCAGTGCTTGCTGTCGAGAAAAGGGCCGTTGGGCGCCATTTGGGTTGCCGCCTACTCTTTCAAAAAGCTCAAGAAGTCGCAGGTCAACCAGACCGACATCTCCTCCTCCGTCGGTTCGTTTTCGTTTCGTTTCCTCTCTCTCTTATTTTTTCCGTTTCTTTTATCTTCCGTCGGTTGGCATTTGATAACAAATGAGGGAAATTTAGAATTTGAAATTTGAAAATTTAATTTAATTTATGTTCTTGAAAGGGTGTTTCCTGTTCATGGGTACTTATATTTTGTTGCTTAATTATGTGTATTTGCATTGACGTTGATCAATTTTGTTATCTTGCTTCTGGGTTTCCCATTAGCCACGTTATCAACCATCTGGGAAAATTTTATTGCTCTAGTAATTGTTGTTGGTTGAAGAAATTGTAAAAAGATGGCAGAAAATTTGGGAAATTTTTTGACCTTTTGGTGTGTTTTAAATTTGAAATTTGAATTTAATTCGAAAAGAAAAGGTTTTGTTGGCTTTTTTGTTGGGAAAGATATTGGGTGGCTAGGATTAGTAGAGAAAACCAAATCATATATACAGAAGAGTAGGATTGGTTCACTTATTGGGAAAAGAAAAATTCGAATTGCTTTTTACTTGCGTTTTTCGGGTTTTTGTAATGCCAGGGGGAAGTGGATATGATATCTGGAATTTTGAAACCGAACTTGGATGACTAACAGATTACATTTTCTAAAGTAAAGTATTATTTCAACTTTATCATGTTTATTTAGAGTGTTATTTTTCGGATCGGATGCTGTCCGGATGGTTTCATATCGTTTTATTAGGTTTAAACGTTCATAAGGGTTGAGGACATTTGCTTCGAATTTATTAGGTTTAGACCGTTTAGTGTTGGGAAATATCCTAAACCGTATTGTGTTGCTGCAGATAAAATTTTGCAGGATGAATGGGATGCTGTTGCTTACAGGGTGCTGGCCTACCTTCTTCTTGGCGTTGTTCGAATATACTCAAAGAAAGTTGAATATCTGTATGATGACTGCAATGAAGTGCTGGTTAAAATCAACAAATTTGTAGTCAGTACAAAAAAGAATGCAGGCCCAGATAAGCTGCGTGCACCTTATTACACTGTTACCCTACCTGATAGGTTTGAACTCGATGCTTTCGATCTGGGGATCCTTGAATTTGAAGATGTCAGTGGGTAAGCTGTGTAACTCATAAAACTGTGAGGATATTCCTGTATTTAGTATTCATATTTAACATGTGTGATTCCCTTAATTCACAGAGGCAATGTGGTGTCTCATGAAGATATCACACTTAAAGGTATTGTGTCTATGATCCCGAATACTATTTTACTTAGTCTATTTGTATAAGTTTACTTGATTCAGCATGATATGAAACAGATAGTGCATATGGAAGAGGACAATTTTATTCAGGAATGGTACGTCACTTAAAGATTCTAATGCTTATCTTTTTCATGTCATTCATTTTCTTATATAAGAATTAGTTGTTAATGATTGCAAAATTTCCTCATACGCATTTTCAAAGGCTTGATTAATTTGTATTCCGAACATGCATTTAAGATTGTGTTTGTGTTTGTGTTTGTGCAGTATGATTATGAGGAATTTGATGCCTGCGACACCCCAGTCAAAGAGTATGTAAAATCATTCCAGATGCTGAAATTTTAGATTAGTTTTGCAATATTATCCTTTAATCGTATGTTTGATAAGTATATCTTATTTCAGTGTACTTTCATCTCACTGGTTGGACTTTGACATGGAGCTACGAGCATCGAGTAGTGGAGCCAAGTCAGCACCAGTTATGGAGGAGTTTCATGAGAATAGGCTCTCTCAAGAAGAATGCGTTGACCTAGAAAGATTTTGTGGAGTTGAGGATGAACCTCCAAGACAAGTTAAATCATCTGGTGAAGGTAAAGAAACTAATGGAGAGCAGTTAAAGGTTCCAGATATAGCACTTCTTGGAGATGCTATTCGAGAAGAAGCAAACCTGGCAGAAAAACTTGAAGACCATAGGTTGTCTCATGAAGGTTTGAACCTTGAGACATTCGATGGGACTGAGAGAGAACCTTCCCACCATGTTAGAACATCCAGTGAAGATCATCAGATTGATCGTGAGGAGGTTATGGAACCAGAGTTGGTACAACCAGAAAGTCAGACATGTCCGAGTATAGTACAAGACCATAATCTAATCACTGTAGAAGCTGGCATGGAAAAGTTGCAGAGTTGTACAGTATCTCAAGAAGACTACATGGACATTGATACATTTAATGGGGTGAAGCAACCTAGAGAACTTGTTTGTCCATTTGGTGAAGCAAATCATAATGATGGAGAGCCAAAAAAACTACCCGAGATGATTTCACCAGATAGTAAAGAACGTCAAATTATTATGCAAGAAGATCCAGATCCTCTCTCTGTTTCATGTGATGGAACTCCTGGTGTCAAAATCCCCGATGCAGGTACAACACAGTCAATAAGGGAATTTAATGTTATGTTTCTTATAACTTCTTAATCCTTCAATTCCTATAGTTGTTTTCGTACTGGTAAGGGGCTGCTTTTGCACTATAACATACACAGTTGGACATTATTTGGCGTAGTCTGTCACTTTTCGAAGTTCTTTCTTATACTTTGCAATATCTGTGAAATTAAAACCTTCATGTGTTCTTTTGTCCTAAATAAATTTCTCCTAATGCAGGTGTTACTGTACCAAAGTTTATGGTTGTTCATACACCAGCCTCTAAGGAGTTCGCTCGATTTTCTAAGAAAAGAAAATGTGTCATGGATGATATGACAGTCCTGCCTAATGAGTACGTGACAATTTACTTCCCCTTTACATGTGTTAGTTGAAGTGTTTCTGTTTCGCGTATTGATAGAAACCTAGGCTATGAATCATTTCTATTTTGTCTAAGATGCCTGCTCAAATGTTAGGAAGAACAATGTGTCAGGGATGGTATGACAGTGCTGTCATTGATGATAAAATCGTTCAGGATGCTTTGGACTTTAATTATGTTTTAATGGATTATAAGTTGACCATGGACTGTAAATTTGAAACAAAAATTTTTACAGGATAATCAGGAAAAGCATAAATGATGCAAGTGACTTGGTTTCTAAAAGAAAAAAAGTTCCTCAAACTGCCCTTGCTGTCTGGAAAGCCAGTCGAATTGCAAATCTTTGCTGTGATTTCTCAGAGCCATTGATACCTGGTAATTTTCTATCATTATTTACTTTACGGTTCACCAGTTGTCAAATCGTTGCTAACTATATATTTTCAGCTGCTGTTTCACGAGAACTTATATCCCTCGTCTGCAAAAAGAAATTAAAGATTACAGTACCTGCCAAACCAGTTGCCCCTCCAGAAAAGTTAGACGCTCCCGAATCTCCAAGTGTTGTTAGGTCAGAGCAAATAGAAATTGCACCAGAAACCCCCATTCTTCGCTCACAAGCAATGAAATCATTTGGGAGTCCAAAGAGCCCTGATGCTGCTGATATGGATATCGTAACACCTGAGACATCTGGAAGGGTAGAGAAGGAGGAGCCACCCCTTGACAGTGAGCAAGCTGCACCATCTGGATATGCAGAAGAAGTACCATTTATGGACAGGGATCAGGAACATGATTTCAATTTGTTGAATGAGGTATAGTAATGATTATTGTGTTGTGTTAGTACACCGCATAGCCATCCACCAAACCTTTCTGTTTGTGGTCCTCAAACATCTTTAGTGCACGTAACAAGCTCGCACATACCAAATTAAAAGGGCGGAAACAAGCATGTAGGATATTGATGCTGCCACACGTTATTATGTTGCATCTCATTTGGTTCCAGAATAGAACCAGTTCGTATCTTTCGTTGTTCCCTATTTTTCCTAACTTTTTTAGTTGTATCTTGCCTCAGGACATTGATTCGTACGAAGGAGTTAACCCACAACTGGGTAAGAGCCTCAAATTGATTTCATTAAGCTAAACTTCTGTTTGAGTTGTATATTTTTCTCAATAATTGAACCTTGAAACTTATTTTTGTTGCAGAGGGATTGTCAGCGAGAACAAGGTATGGTGGATCGCCCCCCCGGGGTTAAATTATTCTTGTACAAATTTTTCTTCAACATGTTGAACTTTGTGTATACAGAATTGTCGCAAGGTACTTGCATAGACACTTTCCAAACTGTAAAAATCGAGGAGAGGAGGAAGTGAACTTGTTGGAGGTTTCGGATGGAAGAACTAAGAAAGAAAGTGCAAGGCTGTTTTATGAGCTACTGGTATGATCTCTCTGTACTACATGGTTTAGAATGTTCGTGTCCATAAGCCAGCTTCTTTTCAGTTCTTTTAGAATTCATGAACCGAAATTGTAACTTCCAAACATGCCGATGCAAAACCAAGCGTAGCACATCATCATCTTTTCTTTTTTTTTGCAGGTGTTGAAAACTCAAGGGTATGTGAATGTGAAGCAAGATGATGCCTATGGTGATATACTGATCTCAAAACGTCAGAAATGGGACCAAACGTGGGGAGACGACGATATGGACAACAGAGGCACCTCGGAAACTATGTACTTGTGTGCGTAGCATACGGAGTCCTGCATACATTGTATATGGTGCAAGTTTTTGTAGTCGTATAGTCCCCTTGCAGCAAGTTTTTAGTTGTAAATTTAGTGTTTTTCGAAGTTTTCGTTGCAAGAATTTTAGATAGAAAGGGTACAGTCGTTGTTGATTCAAGTTTTAAAGCCTTCTGGTGGACTCTCAGCACCCACCATTGAGCATAGTTTTGTTGAATCTCCAATTCTGTAAACCCATCACCAATTTTTCGGATTTTGACAAATAATTGTTAATTCAATAGTTATGTGAATGTGTTCTTAATTCAGCACCAAATTTACTCTGTAAATCACTGCTTGAAGATTGTAACCCAAATCGAAACGGCCTGAACCGTGCCCAGCTAGGAAAAATCTTGAATGATTGTAACAAAAATGGAACCGGTTCGAACCGTGCTTAATCTGAAAAAGATCTTGGGTAGCCGGTTTTTCACTCCATTTATGGAATGAGACCCACTCTCGATCTGTGTTCGGAGCTCGCGGAATAAGGAATCTAGACCATTCAGGGAGAAAAAGATTTGAATCGTTCAACATTTTCTGTTATTGTAAAGTAAGATTGAAATTGAATGATTCGAATCTTTTAATCCGTAGATTCTGAACACAGAGATTCGGAGTGGATCTCAATCCTATTTAGCCTTACACAAACCTTTGTATTAAATTGAATAAATCAAATAAAAACAAAGATGCGTGAGAAGAAAAAAAACCGGCTTTCATTTTGGGTCCTATGCATTGTCCATTTGTTTTTTATTTTTATTTTTTTGAGTACATCGATATATTTTTACACTAGGGGAAAAGGGTATTCGGCTAAGTCATACAATATGCAATTTTATTTGGTATCGAATTCGCCATTCACGATATTCAAACCTAAAGCCTCTCACCTCCAAGTAAGGAAGAATACCACCAAACAGTAGTACTGAATGACAACGTACATTTGTTTTAAACTGGATGTATAATAAACCGTCAGATCAATCCAACGGCTGATATTAAGCTCCAGCAGCAATAGAGAAAAACCCGGTCGAAGCAACCCAACACCTTGTATTCATTTGCCCAAACCCTATACCTCCGCAGGGTTTTACAGGTCCATCTCTTTCTTTTCTTCTGAGAATTTGAAGTGATTAGATCTTCTCGAGCTTTCTGCTTGTTTGCTTAAATCTTTGATCTGCTTTCCCAGGTGGATGATTCGCGTTTGAAAAAAGCCCCAATCGGAGAAAACGAAGGAGAGAAATGGCGGGCCAAGCAGCTGCCGCGTTTAGTGGCAACATGAAGGCAATGTTTTCTTCTAATTACGTTGATTAATCGTGTTTAAGTTGTGTTTAATTGTTATTTTCTTCTTAATATGTTGATTTTGTAACCTCGTCAGATTGTGAATTAGTATATCAATGAATGCCCGCCAACTGTTTGTGGAATGTCCTGAGAGAGACTTTGTGTTTAACGGAGTTTGTGCTTTGATGTTCATACAGAGAGCTCTTGCTGGCCTGAGACGCATTGATCTTGACGGTCTGCGGTGGAAAGTTTTCGATGCGAAGGGCCAGGTTGGTGGTTGATGTTTGTAGTTATTTCGATTTTTATGGTAGCATTACTTGTAGGCGTGGGATATAGTGTTGCATTTTTGTTTACGGAATTAATTTTGGTGAATTTTTCATTCAGTTTTTAATGAATTTGAATCAAATACTTGAAGTAATAGCCTTTGCAGCGGATAATGATAACGTAAGCGTACTTTTAGGTTCTTGGAAGACTAGCAGCTCAAATATCTACAGTGATTCAAGGAAAGGATAAACCAACATACGCTCCAAACCGAGATGATGGCGATATGTGCATTGTGCTTAACGCGAAGGATGTTTGTGTCACGGGGAGAAAAATGACCGATAAGGTTTATTATTGGCATACTGGGTAAGTGCCACTGTTTTAGCATTACCATTACTTATTGTGAAAATTTTTGGTTGCTAAAACTATGGAGGGACTTCATGGGATTAACGTCATTCAATTCTTGTGCACGGTCGATCGATCTGTCCTTCGATATGATAAATATATGTCTTCATTGTAGTTGTAAATTTATCACCAAAACAACCTTGAAATAAAAAATTTAGCCTTTTTAATTCTGTTCTGAGAATCTTCGAATCTACTCAGTTTTTCTATGAACGAGCGAAGGATATCAGTAGAATTGATTCCTGATGTTTCCTGAGACCCTCTAAATAAAGTCATATCCGTTGGTTTTGGTACTGAATCATTTATGGCCTGTATAGGTATGTGGGTCACCTCAAGCAAAGGAATTTGAAGGATCAGTTTGCTAAAGATCCTACAGAAGTCATTCGCAAAGCTGTTATGCGCATGCTGCCGAGGAACAAACTGCGCGATGTGAGTTTTATAGTAGTAGATTTTCTTGTCTGTTATATTTAACTTTTATCATAGAATTCGTTGCTGGTGTACTGAATTCTCTCTCAATGATGCTTCAAATGGATGTAGGATAGAGATAGGAAGCTGAGGATATTTGCTGGCGATGAACATCCCTTCGCTGACAGGCCCCTTGAACCATACCTGATGCCCCCTCGGAATGTAAGGGAAATGCGACCCCGTGCAAGACGAGCCATGGTCCGTGCTCAGAAAAAGGCTGAACAGCAACAACTGGATGCCGGTGATCCACGGAGGGGGAGGAAGAAAGATAGAGCGGAAGTAACCGCATGAAGAGGTATTTGAGCTTATTTCCTGTTTCGAAAGCTGCCGGTGTATAGCTACCATATATGGGGCTTGATTCACGACTTATTTGGAGCACTTTTACTATAACTATGTTTGATGATCATTGTCTGGTCAGAATTTTAATTTTTGGTTAGAGCTGTCAAAAGTTTAGTTGTCTTGTGGAAATTGGCCGGCATTTTTCCAGTAATAATGTTTTTAGGTGATTCTTCGGATGCAGTTTCGAATTCTAATGATAAACGGTTCAGTTATTCGCCACGAATTTGTTGTCTCTTTGAAGCTTATTCTTTGATTTGTGCTCTGTCGTTGGATGAGTTTGATTTAATCTACCTGCTTAACGATTCTTAAAAATCAAATTCATTCAATTCTTCCACTCAAGTTAACACATCAGAATCATAACCTTTCACAAACAATGCAACCAAACACGCCGTACACGAACAAGAAAGAAGCACAAACGAGTGTCATCTGATTCACTTCTAAACTCAAAAACTCTTACAGAAACCAATTCAAAAAGTTCTAAACCAAAACTAGTACACAAACCAATATAAAGTTACTGGGGTTCTAATCGCTCGAGGACCCATCATCAACGTCTTCATGCTCTGTCACAACCTTCTCTATAAACCTCCTGCGAACTCCATCGATCACAGCTTGCCTCGACCGATCATTTCCACTCAGGCCATCATTAAGTACAGGATCTGATTGGCACAGAAGTAATGCCACACCTGATATATCAGCACAGCACAGAAAACTTCATCAAAAAGAGTTTTAAGCATTGCAATACAACAACGGTTCACATCAAGAGCCTCAGCATACTAATCATGTACAGCAAAAGGCCACAACTTCCAGCGTATCTGCTCCAGTCACCCAAGTTCCAATCCCCCTCCCCGTAGATTAGAACAACACAAAGCCTTATCCCACTAGGCAGGGTTGGCTAGGCAGGGTTAGCTGTATGAATCCTAGAACGCCACTGCGCTCTTTTGCGCCAAGGATTTCTGTTGGCACCAAGTACTCAAACCAAAAATGTCCACTTCCTCACAGTCCATGTCATCTTGAATCCATTTCTCACGGTAATTCGTGTTCTAAACAACACATTATGTTAACTTAATCAAGTTAAAAGCTTAAAATTTCATCGCAGACATGAGCGTAACTACATAATATGTTTCTCTACGCACTCGAGTCCGAACTCTATCCTGCTGTTTAGATTGGTTTAAAGTAAATATCACTTGTATAAAGAAAAGAAATGTGAAATACCTTCAGGTGTGCATCTGCGGCCAAAGCTCTGCAAGCCGACGTAGTTAGCTTTGACATTCCCACTGTTGTATACTAAAACAGTCGGAACATTCCGATCAGGGTAGTTCGGAATGCAGTCCGTCGATATTATCTTGACGAATTTTGTAGCGGGATATTTCGTCGCCAAATCTTCCATACACTGCATCAAAACCCCGCACTCGGCGATTCCTTCTTTGTACAAAATCACAACCACCCAGACATCCGGCGGCGCCTGAGACACCTCCCGCACGAAATCCGATCCCGAAATCGGCACCACCGATCCGAACCTTGCAACTTTGGCTGCTTCTCTCAGCTCCGCCAGCCTCTTCTTCCTGTCCAACCCGCCAAATTTTTCACATTTACGGTCTCAATTTCAAGTAAATAAAGCAGTAATTCGGTAGAAAAACAAATTGAACTGTAAGGACCTGTATTCTTCGAGGAAGCGATCGTCGTCGAGATCGGGATTGTCCTCGAGGTCTTCGAGGTCCTGCTCGGATTTCTCATCGATCCAGGACTTGTCTTTGGGAAGGGAGGCTTCGTCCTGAGCCGGTGTGAACTTCGGCGGCTTGAACGGCGGTGGCTTCTCGGGAAGGTTCCCGAGCTTTCTCTGTATGTCGTCCCACTGAGTCGATGCTCCCTCCAAGTCCTTGTACACAAAGTGATAGTCCGCCATTTCTCTCTCTCACTCTCCGGTATTCGTCACCAAACAAGTAGATGAGAAAAACTCGAAATTGATATCTGTGGTTGTCAATGGCGTCGACCAATTTGGGAGTGAATTTCGAATTGGGGTTCAAATTCGAAGACAGAGAGAGAGCAAAACTATGAGGAGAGAAATAGGAGAGACAGCGAGAAGAGAAGGATCCAGTTCTTCCCAGTAAGAGAAAAAGAGAGAGATATCCCTTCACTTTGGGCCTACTTTTATTTTTAGGCCCCGAACAAATGGGCATTTTTTAATTACTGGGCTCTATTGAATGGGCTTAGTTTGGTAGGTGGGTTTTATAGGCTCAATTAAAGTGAGATAATCCGCCCTACTCTCTTGACTATATTTTGCGTCTCACTTTACGATAGCATGTGAATAACTTCTTTAAAACGTGACTCTAAGGCCTTGTTTGATAGGGGAGGATTAACTTGAATAGGAATATTCACTACATCGAAGATATTTTGAAAACATAAATGGATGAGAACTTCTATATTTTGTACAGCTTGAAGTTTAGTCATGAAGAAAATATATCTCTTTAGCTCCCACAAAAACTGATAGGATTAAAAGGGACAGTTTTTGTTTCCATGAGTAATCTTCAATTTGGACAAAGTAGAAAAGTTATCGGCCATTTCTGATTTCAAAATGTCTTCAATACAGTGAATAATAAATTTATGTCCACTTGAAGAGGGCAATGCGGGTTTTCTGTTGATAAGCAATGTAGTCTTTGAATATGAGTGGCGCCAATCAATGCAATCATTTTGTTAAAGTTCTGTCAAACTTCTATTCATGTGTTGACGTGTCATATATATGGACTCACAAGTTGGCTTTTTAGCCAAAATAGTCCATGAGATTTGCATAACTCCTCGCTTTGGTCCCTAAGATTTGAAATCAATAAAAGTGGTATATGAGAATGTCTATCATCAATCATTTCGGAAAAAAATTATGTTAAATAAGAATCAAAATGATAAATATATCCTCAATTTAATAAACAATAGGCCAAAAAAATTTGACAAAAAAAATAATTTAGGGTATTTTTGTTATTTTATGTTTATTTTATAGAGATTTTTCATGGAATGACCAAAATGATTGATTGTAGACAAACTCGGGACCAATTCTATTGATTTCAAGAACCAAAGTGAAGAGTTATGCAAACCTTATGAACCATTTTGGCTAAAAAACCCTCACAAGTCTAATCAAAATTTACCACGTCAACCTATTAACAGAAATTTTGACAAAATTTTAACGTATTAATTTGCGACATTCATGTTCAAATATTACATTGATAATTTCAATTTCAAATATCGGAGTAGCTCAATTTCAGGACCATTTGTCATAAAACTCCACCTTTCCTTTATTCAACCGAGTTTTACTCATCGAACCGCCCCCACTCAATTCAGCTAAATGGGCGAATCGATCCCCGTGTTTCATTGATCGTGTTTCGAATCGAATCGTACACTAAAAACACACACACACGGAAACCGAGACCGAGCTCCCGAAGCTTTCTCTCTCGTCTCCGCTCCCGGGTCCTCAGCAATCGGAAACTCGACCGGAAACCATGGAGCCCGTGCAAGCTCTGGTGGCGAACATCCAAGGGCTTTCGAGCTCAGGCGACATCCTGCACCTTCACGCCCTTCTGAAGCAAGCGCAGGAGTTGCTCTACGCCGAGTCGACTCGGTTGCTTCCCGTTCTCGACCAGCTCGACCCTGCCAAGCACTCTCTCGGATACCTCTACATTCTGTGAGACTCTTCGTCGCTCTAGCACTTCTAGTTTTCGAATTTTATTCGTGTATTTTTCGTTTTCGGTATTGGATGCAATATTATTGGGGGAGAGAGAGCGGGAACTGTGTGACCTAATCCACTGTTTGGTGATTGAGTAAACGATTTTAGATGCATCTTTTAATAAATTCTACGAACTCTGAATTAAGAACTCTGTCAGTGCTTGAAATTGCATTTGAGATCACAAGTTTGATTGTCGAAAGCATGTATAGCGTGTGGTTCATTTGTTTATAATTCCGCGTGGTTACTAGTTACCAGCATTTGAAAATCGGTGAAACTGACTGTATCATGGGTTTGTGAATGCGGTGGCAGGGAGGCATGCTCAACTGGTTCGATTTCAAAGGAGCAGGCGAGTGCGTTGGTCTTGCCCATTGCCAGATTTATCAATTCCTGTGCTGCAGAGCAGATTCGTTTGCAGCCTGATAAATGTATGTATTCATCTTTACTTATTTATTCGACTTGTGTAAATGCTGTTAAACTGCACCTGTCGTTTCTCTTTCCGTTGATTTGTTTGGTTTGCAGTCATATCTGTTTGCAAGAGGTTCAAAGATCAAGTTATGCTGCTTGAAGCACCATTGCGAGGCGTGGCACCGATGCTGACAGCCATTCGGAAAATTCAGGCCTCCTCGGAACACTTGACTTCTTTGCATCCGGAGTTTCTTCTTCTTTGTTTGTTGTCAAAATCCTATAAAGCTGGATATTCTATTTTAGATGATGACATATTTGAGGTTGATCAGCCAAGGGATCTTTTTCTCTATTGCTATTACGGGTCGGTTGCTCTTTCTTCACAGTGTTATCTTTGTTTCAGTTTGCTTTCACTTAAGTTAGCTGTTTTTAATTCTTGAGGAAATTACTTTCATTTTCTTCTTGGAAGTATCCTTGCTTTGTTAACATGTTTCACTTTGGGGATTTTGTGTTGCTCAGGAAATTTCTGACTCTATTTCATGTTTGACATCATTGTAGGGGGATGATATGCATAGGACAAAAGCGTTTTCGCAAAGCGTTGGAGCTTCTTCACAATGTCTGTGATCTATATTCAGTTTACCTTCTTATATATTTAAGTTATCTTCTATAAGAAGTTTGATTTACTTGTCCATTCTAATCGCAAATCATATTTCCCAGGTTGTAACGTCTCCAATGACTGTTGTTAATGCTATAGCTGTCGAAGCGTACAAAAAGCATATATTGGTTTCACTCATTCACAATTGGAATGTATGCCTTTTCTTCTCATAGATCCATCTACCTTTAGATTTAATTTGACATCGTTTTGACTTGACGAGTTCATCTGTTTGCACTGTAAATTTATATGAGGAAAATTTGATGATTGTTCTTTTCCTGGTGACAGTTCTCTACCAGTCTTCCTAAATACACCTCTTCAGTAGCTCAGAGGAATCTAAAGAACTTTTGTCAGGTAATGCAAAAGTTGAGCGCTGCTCTTTGCTACATGTATTTTCATAAATGGATTGCTTTATTTAAATCCTGATATAATCGGTCATTCCATAGTGGGCTAGCATTTAAACTTACATGCTCTAATGACTTTATTTGGCTTTTAACTCCCTTTCGAGCAGCCCTACATTGAATTTGCAAACTGCTATGTCAGTGGAAAAATTGTAGATTTGGAGGCATTGGTTGACAAATACAGGGAAAAGTATGAAAATGTGAGTTTTTTATGATGATTTCATCCTGTTGTTTTTCACTTTAGTTGTTTGTTGAATCCATGGTGTCAAAGAAAAAAGATGATGCAACATGATCTCTCTGTAACCTACGAGTCTCTGACTCAAATTCTTCAGTCTTCTTAATTAGGCTTTGGAATTGTGTTTTTCCCTAGGACAACAATCTTGGACTGGTGAAGCAGGTTATATCTTCCATGTATAAGCGAAACATTCAGAGACTGACTCAGACATACTTGACTCTTTCCCTTCAAGACATAGCCAACAGCGTTCAACTAAACAGCGCTAAGGAAGCAGAAATGCATGTGCTACGAATGGTAAATCAAAAGTATTAGCAATAAAGTATTGGAATCGCAAATCTTTGTATTGTACCCTAATGTTATCTTTTATCAAAGTATAGATTGAAGATGGTGAGATATTCGCAACAATTAACCAGAAGGATGGAATGGTTAGATTTCTTGAGGATCCTGAGCAATATAAAACCTGTCACATGATTGAACATATTGACTCATCAATACAGAGGTAAATTGTTTGGATATCAATAACATTTTGCATTATTCTTTTCTTTTGTCTGTGGGAGAGGCGGTGGCACATCGTTTTTACCATTTTATTTTTCTCTCCACTCCATCCAGGATAATGGCACTATCAAGGAAGCTGACTGCTATTGATGAAACCATCACATCCGATCCTTTGTTCCTGTCAAAGGTGAGTGAACTGTTTCCGTTGTGTTACTAAATTAGTTAGTAGTTAATCAGACTAATACCTGCATACATGTTCAGACTGGAAGAGAGCGGCATAGATTTGACTTCGATGATTTTGATGGCGTCCCCCAGAAGTTTAACATATGAATCAAGCAGTATCACTCAACATATCGACTTGAAGTTGAGAATGGCGATGGACAAAGATGCTGCAGCACCGAAATTGTTATTTTTGGCTACTTATTGTGCAAAGAGACGGAAAGTTCTGAGTCATTTTCTCCCAAACGAGTAGTAGATGTCTCTGGCTACCGTCTATTTATGGAACCAATTTTGAACATGCTTTATGTTAGCTTTTCTTTTGATCAGTTTTGAGCGAAGGCCGAAATTATGCATGTGCAGTGGCAAGGAAATCAACAGATTACATTTTACTCGAAAGGTATGCATATTCTGAACTCAGTAATGTACATTGAACGCAACTGGACTAAGAGACTGGTCATCCCAATTCGCATTTACAGAGAATGACCAAGATTACATCTGCTACCAAAATCATCAAGGCATACATCCTTCATACCATTTTCATTTCCCTTCGTTCTTTCTCCGTTCACAAGGCGGTTCTCAGTTGGCACCGCATTCATCCGAAGGGAGGAAGAAAATGAATTCGGGGGAATATACGATGGGGGACTGTCGGGTGGAATCATATTGGATGCTGACAAGCAAGTGGAAAGGAATTTACAGGTTACTGAATACAAATATGCCTGATTCTCTCCTCGTTGATGCCTGATGGAGCGACGGACAAATATTACGGTTCTCCTTGGTTGCCCTGTACGTTGCCCACTTCCTTCGATCTATCTGCAAAAATAAATGGTTTTGGAAAGGAACTTAGTAGGCTGCAATCAGAAATTAACGTTAAAGCAAACGCAATAAGGTTAAAACTCCAGAAATTCCCTAACGACAACTGATTCAAACACACAAACGCAGTAAGATCTTGTCGAGGAAACTAACACAAGTAATGATCAGTTCTCAAGGAAACAAGACCTCATATGTTGTGTACCAGAAAGATACGGATAAATAGAGTTCGAATAGTTTTTAAGGTTTCCCACGCGCGGTTGCAGAATGTTCATTATGTTTGGATGAGGGAAATAAACTTGGAATTTGGGTAAAAGTCAGTAACGTTTGTTCCCACGCGCACTCTTTCTTTGCCTGTATCCCAGCATTCACAAAATTCCGTCAACTTAACCGCGTTACGTTCTCCCACTTGAACTAATAAATCACGTAGTGCACAGAAGTTCCATAGTCTTGCACAAAAAAGAAACTAGTGGTTTTAGCACGCAGTTCGTCCATATCAAATATAGTTAGTTGCAAATGATAAATACATAAGCAACGTGCACACCTTTTTATTTCAACGAAGGGGCATAAGGTGCCGGGCATGCTGATACAGTGTCATCTGGTAACCGGTCTATCAAATCAACTACCACCTTCAGGCATGCATGGAGCATTTTCTTTTCGAGTCTGATAAGCTGTGTAGCAACTCGCTTCTTTGGATTCAAATTAGCGTCTTCCAACTGCGCAAGAGTGAGGATATTAATTTGGATTCACCTAGCAATAACCTGGTATCGCAACTAATTTGACAGAGCCAAGATTACCAAAGACTCATCTTCACTCAATGTAGTTGGATAGCCGGCCAGCCGCGTTCTAAAATAATCAGCAAGTTGGTCCAACACTGCTCGTTCCATACAAGGACTCACCTACAAGTTTATAACATCCAGCAGTGCATGTCATTTATCACCATAAAATTTTTGGCCTCGTTAAAGACGAAAGACAACTCCGCCTATGTCTTACATGGCCGGTCCCAAGCCCGGATAAAGGAGGAGGGGGAGGGCGTCAGGTAGTCGACAGCCGGCACTCCATGATCACGTCGAATCCTTATGAAAATGAATCCAGAACAAAATAGCGCTAAAGCTAGGGCGTCACCCGTAAGTGGCGCGCTGTGCGGCCCGAGCACAGTGATAAGTGAGCAAGGGTCGCTGTATCTCCATCGGCACCCGGATGCAGTGTTAAATGAGCAAGGGGGCCATAGAAACTTCTTTTCGAACGACTCCACTCAAAGTTGTTTGGGAGCATATGCTCCTATCAACTTTACTCGGGACACACAAAAGAAGTACTTTGATCCTATTAGACGGGGGAGGGTGAAGAAGCTAGGACAGAAGGGTAGAGTTCAAGAGAGCAAAATGCGTTTAGGAACGTGGAATATAGGAACCTTAACGGGAAAATCTATGGAAGTAGTGGAAGTTATGGTGAGGAGAATGATAAATATTATGTGCCTACAAGAAACTAAGTGGGTTGGTAGTAAGGCAAAGGATCTAGAAAACTCAGGGTTTAAACTTTGGTATTCGGGCACACATAGAACGAGAAAACGGTGTTGGCATCATCGTGGACAAGACCTTGGTACAAGATGTTGTAGATGTCAAGAGGGTAGGAGATAGAATCATGGCAATCAAGATTGTAATAGGACAAGAACTTATCAATGTGATTAGTGCGTACGCACCTCAAGTAGGGTTGGATACGAGGTCGAAGGAGAAATTTTGGGAAGATCTTGGAGACTTGGTGCAAGGAATTGCTCAGACGGAGAAGTTATTTATAGGAGGAGATTTAAATGGACACGTGGGCAGGGAGACAGGCAACTATGGAGGTTTTCATGGTGGCCATGGTTTTGGGGAGAGAAACGAGGATGGGGAAGCTATCTTGGATTTTGCAATGGCATTTGATCTCTTCTTAGCCAACACCTTCTTTAAGAAGAGAGAAGAACATGTGATCACCTACAAGAGTGGGTCGTCAAAAAAAACACAAATAGATTTTCTTCTAATGAGGAAAGGGGATCGTATAACTTGTAAGGATTGCAAAGTTATACCAGGAGAGAGCGTGGCTAATCAACATCGCTTGTTGGTGATGGATGTACACATCAAAAGAGTGAGACAAAAGAACAAGACTTGGAAGTGCCCAAGGACTAGATGGTGGAATCTAAAAGAAGAAAAACAAGCCATTTTCAAAGAGAAAGTAATCACCCAGTGTGTGTGGGATAGAGAGGGGGAAGCTAGCCAAATGTGGGATTCCATGGCTAGTTGTATCCGAAAAGTAGCAAAAGAGGTATTAGGAGAGTCCAAGGGCTTTGCCCCACACCAAAAGGAATCTTGGTGGTGGAATGAGGAGGTACAAACAAAGGTGAAGGCTAAGAAGGAATGTTGTAAAGCCTTATACAAGGATAGGACTGATGAAAATGGTGAAAGGTATAGAAAAGCGAAGCAAGAGGCGAAGAAAGCTGTGAGAGAAGCTAAGTTAGCGGCTTACGACGATATGTATAAACGACTAGATACCAAAGAAGGAGAGTTGGATATCTATAAACTAGCTAGAGCAAGGGAAAAGAAGACAAGGGACCTAAACCAAGTGAGGTGCATCAAGGATGAGGATGGAAAAGTTCTTGCTACAGAGAATGCGGTTAAAGACAGATGGAGAGGTTATTTTCATAATCTTTTCAATGAAGGACATGAAAGGAGTGCTTCTTTAGGGGAGTTGAGTAACTCAGAAGAGTGTAGAAACTACTCTTTTTATCGTCGAATCCGGAAGGAAGAAGTGGTTGTAGCTTTGAAGAAGATGAAGCAAAGAAAAGCAATAGGCCCAGACGAGATACCAATCGAAGTGTGGAAAGTTTTGGGAGAGACAGGTATAACATGGCTCACTGACCTTTTCAATAGGATTTTGAAAACGAAGAAGATGCCAAATGAGTGGCGAACAAGCACTTTAGTGCCTATCTACAAGAATAAGGGCGACGTACAAAATTGCATGAACTATAGGGGTATTAAGCTAATGAGTCATACAATGAAGCTTTGGGAGAGAGTCATTGAGCATAGATTGAGGCAAGAGACACGGGTTTCGGACAACCAATTCGGGTTCATGCCAGGGCGCTCAACCATGGAGGCAATCTATCTCTTACGAAGATTGATGGAAAGATATAGAGATGGGAAAAAGGATTTACACATGGTCTTTATAGATTTGGAGAAAGCGTACGATAGGGTCCCAAGAGACATTCTTTGGAGGATTTTAGAGAAGAAAGGAGTACGAGTAGCATATATCCAAGCTATAAAGGATATGTATGAAGGAGCAAAGACTGCCGTAAGAACTCATGAAGGACAAACTGAAAGCTTTCCCATAACTGTAGGATTACATCAAGGCTCATCCTTAAGTCCTTACCTTTTTGCGTTGGTAATGGATGAGTTAACAGGACATATTCAAGATGATATTCCTTGGTGTATGCTTTTCGCAGACGATATAGTGTTGATAGATGAAACTCAGGAAGGGGTAAATGCAAAGCTTAACCTTTGGAAAGAAGTGTTGGAATCTAAAGGTCTTCGCCTAAGCCGATCAAAGACAGAATATATGGAGTGCAAGTTCAGTGCAAATGGAGGCCAAAACGAGTTAGGGGTGAGGATCGGTGATCAAGAAATACCAAAGAGCGATCGTTTTCGTTACCTAGGATCTATCTTGCAAAAGAACGGAGAATTAGATGGAGATCTCAACCATAGAATACAAGCTGGATGGATGAAGTGGAAGAGTGCATCCGGCGTGTTGTGTGACCGCCGTATGCCACTGAAGCTCAAGGGAAAATTTTATAGGACGGCAATAAGGCCGGCGATGCTGTATGGCACAGAATGTTGGGCGGTGAAGCATCAACACGTACACAAAATGGGTGTAGCGGAGATGAGGATGCTTCGTTGGATGTGTGGGCACACGAGAAAGGATAAGATTAGGAATGAGGATATCCGGGGTAAAGTAGGAGTAGCCAAAATTGAAGGAAAGATGAGAGAAAATCGGTTACGGTGGTTTGGACATGTGCAAAGAAGGCCTACTGACGCTCCGATTAGAAGATGCGACTATGGGACAGAGGTTCAGGGCCGAAGGGGTAGAGGAAGACCTAAAGAAAACTTTGGAAGAGACTCTAAGAAAAGACTTAGAGTACTTGGATTTAACGAATGACATGACACAGGACCGAGCACAATGGCGTTCTAAGATTCATGTAGCCGATCCCACTCAGTGACTTGGATTTTCCAAGTCTCCAACCGAGAAGTTTTCCTCACTCAGGAAATTAAGGGAACACTACCTCAACCTACATGCTCCACTCACAAAGCTCCAACAAAGAAAATTCAAAGAACTTAGAGAAGAAGGCTTTGGTGTATTTAACACAATACGTTGAAATGAAGGAAAGCTTATTTATTGATATCCCCGATAAGCTACAAATATGTACATATACATGAGTCAAAATAAACAAACAAGAGAGAGCCTTCACAAAGGTTGCTTAGGAGAAGTCGCAGCAGTCGGTAGAGCCCCAGAAAGAGAAGGCACCGGAGGGGGATCATTCGGAGCCTCAGTACTGGACAGAACCCTAGAAGGAGGCATCAGAGGTTGATCATTTGGAGCTTCATTACGCGGTACAGCCCCAGAAGACGAAGGCAATAAATGCCTTTGGAACAAACCCACAAATCTCTGATGATCAAGTAAAACCTGACCATCAGATTCCTTCATCTGGTCCAGCTTCCTCTTCATGTTTGTAGCATAGTCATGTGCGAGACGGTGCAACTGTTTATTCTCATGCTTGAGCCCTCTAATCTCCTGTTTGAGACTCATCACTTCAGCCGCCAATGATTCAACTTGGCGGGTTCGAGCAAATAGGCGTTGGGCCATATTAGACACAGAACCTGCACACTGAACACTGAGAGCCAGAGAATCCTTAACAGCTAACTCATCAGATCGTTTGGAAAGTAGTCTGTTATCTTTGGGAGTGAGAAGGTTCCTGGCCACCACCGCAGCGGTCATATCATTCTTCATAACGGAATCCCCAACGGTAAGAGGACCAGTAGGGGAGACGAAGGATGGGCGCCATATGTTGTCTGGAGAAGGCGGGGCTGCCTCTTCAACAAGGTTCAAGTCAAAACGACGGTCGGAGGGGCCAGACATTTTCAAAGGTGTTGAAGAGAGAAGAGGTCGAACAAATCAAGATCTTAGAAGTGTAAGAATGGAGCTTCTACTGGGGGAGATTCAAGTGTGCTTTGGAACTTAATGCCAGCCCCTATAAAAATCTGCACTCGACGGAGCTTCAGAAATCGAAGAGGCGCCTGCTCAGAAATCGAAGAGGCGCCTGCTCAGAAATCGAAGAGGCGTTTGCTTTCTCAAAAGCTGGGCTGCTCAGAGACCACGAGGGTCGATCTCAGAAATCGAAGAGGCGTCTGCTTTCTCAAAAGTTGGGCTGCTCAAAGACCACGAAGGCCGATCTCAGAAATCGAAGAGGCGCTTGCTTTCTCAAAAGTTGGGCTGCTCAGAGACCACGAGGGCCGATCTCAGAAATCGAAGAGGCACCTACTTTTCCAGCCTTGGCAGCACCTGTCACACGCACACTCAGCTTTGCGGAAATTATGGGCATTCTGTCGAAGACTTCTGGTGAAGTAGAAAGCACATGAGTCTTACTGTTCAATCACCCACTTCCCACACGCAATAGTAGCTCATGTGTATCACAGATAACTTTGCCAAAGTTCTCTGCCAAAGTTGAGCACGTGAAGCTTGCAGCTTCCACTACATCGCTCTGACCAAGACGGGTAAAAGAATAGCAAAGAAACAGCACTAACAAAGTTTAGACACATAAATTTTTGAAGGTCTAGCTACCCCATATTATTACCCACAAGGGTAAAGGAACAGTATCACTGCTGGATAATTGGAAAGTCCCTGTGTGTCAACCTCTGTGCTTCGTGGCAAGGTAGACTAGCAAACATGCCCAACCTTTACTCACATTCGAGAAAACACTCCCAACAAGATTGCTTGCTCCAAAATCGAAGAGGCACCGTCCTCCGAATCTCGAGAGCCAGACTCCCAACATGACTACTTTCTCAAAAATCGAAGAGAGGGTAAAGGAACAGTACCATTGCTGGATAATTGGAAAGTCCCTGTGTGTCAACCTCTGTGCTTCGTAGCAAGGTAGACTAGCAAACATGCCCAACCTTTACTCACATTCGAGAAAACACTCCCAACAAGATTGCTTGCTCCAAAATCGAAGAGGCACCGCCCTCCGAATCTCGAGAGCCAGACTCCCAACATGATTACCTTCTCAAAAATCGAAGAGACACCGCTCTTCGAATCTCGAGAGCCAGACCCCCAGCAGGATTGCTTTCTCAAAAATCGAAGAGACATCGTTCTCCGAATCTCGAGAGCCAGATCCCTGATAGGATTGCTTGTTCGAAAACCGAAGAGGCAACACTTTCCCAACTACAAGAGCCGGATCTCCTTGGATAAAGCTGTCTGTAATCTTCACACGCAACATCAGCTTTCCACATACCACAGACCACTTTTTCAAAGTGCTCTGACAGGGTAAAGGAATAGCATTACTACTTGTTGTTAAGGAGACTCCTATATATGTCAACCTCCATCCCCAACGGACAGACAGACCTGCAAAAATGCTCAACCCTTCCTCATATATGAGAGGGCACTCTCAACGAAGCCTTTTCGAAATATTCAGCTTTCTTTCCCCCCGATAATACCTCTGCAAACAAGTTATACTAGAGCAAGAATATCTCATATCATCAGGGTTAAAAGCAAGAGTATCCCATATCATGCTTTTTCCCTGTCTTTTCCTTTGGCCTTGTTCTTACCTGCAAGACAAGGAGAAAGAGAGCAATCAGTCAGCACTTGGAATCAAGCTTCCAGCCAGGAACTGACTGCCTGGAACTTACTTACCTGGCATTGCTCTCGAGTACTCATCTTCAACATCTTATGCTTCCAGGGAAGATACCGCATCTGCCTGAGGAACAGATAGGGCAAGTGAGAAGGATACAAGGAAGCATGTGGAGACAAGCGTAACAGCACACGTGCCGATACATCCATTACTCTGTCAAAGCAAAAGTATCCCATATCAGTAGGGTCGAACGTACTCTAGATTTGATGGACTTGTTTTGACCCTCAAATTCTTCAGTCGGCCTTATACTCTGGAGGAAACCAGAAAACCCTCCAGCTCAGTTCAAGAATAAGCCTGTGGAAAGTTACTTCTTCAAAAGCAAAAGTATCCCATATCATCTCTTCTCATTTTTCTTCTCTTTATCCTTCATGCTGCCTGCAAGATAGGGAGAATGTGAACAATCAGCCGGAGCTCTGATTGCTTACCTTGTCTGTCACCTCTTTCAGCAAATCCCCTAGCTCGGCAACTTGAGGGACTCCTACTACATGGTTTGTATCGCGCTTGACCAAGCCTGAAACTACAAGTAAGCTTCAAGTGAAATTGATACATTACCTTGTGCATCTCCACCAGTTAAAGATACCACCCCTGGATGGAGGAAGAGTACTTCCAGAGAAGATGCCACATCTACCTGTGAGACAGATAAGGCAAGTCAAGACGATACCACATTCCGATACTTAGAAGTTTCGTGATTACGAGATCATTCTCCCACAATATTTCCTAATGTCATTTGTACTAAATCATTCACCTGTACTCACTAAAGGAAAGCTTGAACCTATGTACTTGTGTAAAACCCTTCACAATTAATGAGAAACTCCTCTATTCCGTGGACGTAGCCAATCTGGGTGAACCACGTACATCTTGTGTTTGCTTTCCTATCTATATCCATTTATATACTTATCCACACTAATGATCGGAGCAATCTAGCGAAGATCACAAAAAGCGACCGTTTTCGCTACCTAGGATATATCGTGCAAGAGAACGGAGAATTAGAGAGATCTCAACCATAGAATAGAAGTTGGATAGATGAAGTGTAAGAGTGCATCCGGCGGGTTGTGTAACCGTCGTAGGCCACTGAAGCTCAAGGGAAAATTTTATAGGACGGCAATAAGGCCAGCGATGTTGTATGGCACAGAATGTTGGGCGGTGAAGCATCAACACGTACACAAAATGGGTGTGGCGGAGACGAGGATGCTTCGTGGGATGTGTGGGCACACAAGAAATGATAAGATTGGAAATGAGGATATTCGAGGTAAAGTAGGAGTGGCCGAAATTGAAGGAAAGATGAGAGAAAATCGGTTCCGGTGATTTGGACATGTGCAAAGAAGGCCTACTGATGCTCCGGTTCGAAGATGTGACTACGGGACAGAGGTTCAGGGCCAAAGGGGTAGAGGAAGACCTAGGAAAACTTTGGAAGAGACTCTAAGAAAAGACTTAGAGTACTTGGTTCTAACGGAGGACATGACACAAAACCGAGCGCAATGGCGTTCTAGGATTCATATAGCCGACCCCACTTAGTGGGAAAAGGCTTTGTTGTTGTTGTTGTTAAAGACGAAAGACATAAATGTTAACTTACCGGACAAATTGGACCTTGAGAAGAGATAACAGACTGCATCTCTGAAGGATCTGAAACATAGCCCAGTCGCAGATAGGGAAGCATATCGAAGACTGTTTCCTTTTCCTTTCCCGCGTATACCTGAAAGAAATGAGGCAGATTAAAGAACTAATGCAGAAAATCATGTTATAACTTTCTTAAGGGAATTAGTTTTAAGTACACACCTGAAAAGTTTGTACCGATAGTTTTCCATTTCCTTGCGCAACCATTCTTTTATCTTGGTATTGTGGATCCTCGGTATTCAAAGCTGCCTGGAACACATACGAAATATGGGATGCTTCAAACAAACACACATTTGACATAAACAGAACCGGCAAGTTTATGAAATTGTCCAGAATTTACCTCAACCACCAAACGGTCATAAGAATTATCTTCATCAACAAAACCATAGTTTATAAGCAACTTTGAATTGGGCTGTGGTCCACACCTGCAATATCTTACCAAATTACATTTTAATGACTTCTACACGGCAGTAACATGATAAGGCCACGCTACAGCTACATAATCTTGAAAAATTCAAATAACATACCAAACAGCAATAGACTCCCCTGCTTTATATGGCCTATCGACCACTAGTTGAACAGCGCCATCAATAGCTGTCAACATTGCCCTACAGTTGCTTCCATAAGCTAACAATGGGGGCCCAAGAGGAACCAAAGCAAATCTTTGAGCCAAACTAACTTTCTGTGTCGGAAAGGGGAAAAATATGTAAGCAATCCAGAGGGCTTGATTTAGAAATGCACGGCACCAAGAGGGATGTGGAGCACTTAAGAAACTATTTATACCCTTTTTCTTATTTTTGTGTAAGTTAATTGTAACAAGAAAATATATTACCAATGGAATGAAGAACTTACCTGCAAATGCACCACACAAGACTGAACCGCAACAAAAGCTTGTTTGAATATCTCAAAAGGGAAGGCATCCGTAGGAATGTCATATGGGTATTGCTGAAAAATGAAGTAAATTTAAGTCCATATCATTGGCTACAACAACACTGGTGCCAGTCAAAGACACTCGAGTAATACCTGAAATAGGGAACCAGCCATAAACCAGACCGTGTCAAGCTCGTTATATTCCCTTTTAATTCCTTCGGCCCTTGCATGAACATCAGCCTGATTCATCACCACAAGAAAGTAAGCTAGAACATTTTGAATTACTGAAGAATTCCATAACTTACTTTAACAGAAGCATGTACAGCGATCGTAGCATAAGATACCTTTGTGGGGCTTCCTGTAAGATAAGCCAGTTCCGCCTCTGACCATAAAAGGGGTGACTCCACCGCTAACTGACCCCTCCCTCGCTGACGATCAAGCTCTCTTATATAGGGATACCAAAATGACTTCTTTCCTTGTTTCTTCTCATACATCAGATACAATGCCAAGCATGCCAATTGCGATAATTTGTTCGTAGTTAATAATTCAGCTGCAAAATAAAACAAGCAAAATACACATTAATGTATGCCCCCCATATCCCATTGACTACGAACATTCATTTAGAAAGTTCGAGAAATCGAACAATAAACAACGCACATTACCAAGTGTTTCGTTCCCTAACACTCTCTTCAGAGTCACAACTAAGGAATCCGGCACCGAAAATGCAACATCACCAACCTAGCAATCACAACAATTCAAAGAACAAAAAAATAAAAACCCATCACCAAGAAACTCAAAGTACTAAAACCCAATGAACTTATGAATTAAATTACTCAGTCTCGTCACCTCAAGATCTTCGCTTGCAGCAACGTAATGAATGGGCCGGAGCTTCTCGTCGTAGGAAGGTTTCTCCTTGAGCACGACCTTGCAAGGAGGCAGCCCGTTCTTGTGCATCCAAGATTTCAAGTCTTCCTCCTCGTCTTTCTTGCTCATGACCTGACTGTGCTTGCCGCCGTCCTCCTTCCGCGACCCAACCAACGTCTCGGAGCTGGAGGCGGAGCACAGATTTCTCCGGCGAATCGATCTGAAAGAAGGTACGGACCTGAGGAGCCTGGTCTTCCGAGGCGAAATTGAAACGAGTAGAGGACGGTGAGAGGAGGAGGACGAGCGAACAGTCTCCAAGCAAATGCACCGGTGGTGCGGAGGACTGAGCTCCATGGCGGAGTGGTGGGATTTGAACAATTCACAGAGAAAGAGAGAGAGAGAGAGAGAGAGAGAGAGAGAGAGAGGGAGTGAGGGGAAATTGGAGGGATACGAGCGCGGAATTTGGCACCGTTGTGTGGACTCACACTCACAGCTGGGAACTTGCCATAGGATGATTTGATGAACAAACAATTTAATTTTTATTATTTGATATTTCGAGAGATTTTTGTCTATACACAGAACGATACGTCATATGTTATTATGTTAGTAAAAAAATTATTCTATAATAATATATAGTGTGTGCTCGTTTTCGAACATACTGAACAATCTTTATGATATTTCAATGTTGTATTTATTTGTCTCAAGATCTTAAATATTGTCTTATTTAAGCTTGATTAATTAGAATGATTAGAGGAGGTAAATGTTTTATCTTCCCTAAATAAAAGTTCTTCAAATACCATTAGCACTTCTAAAATTCACTTTTTAGGTGATTAAGCATTCGGGTCGTGTGATTATTGGACTTCACACGAGTATTACATACTCTAATACTTAAAAGTTCTAATTTTAAAGGGCTTTATCCAAAATAGTTTTTGAGATTAACAGAGCTCTTCATTTTGATCTCTAACAATGAAAATAAAAAAAAATTGGTCAATGAGTTTGTTCATCGTAAATCATTTTGGTCATTTCGTGAAAAATTTGTCCATATCCTCTCGTTAACTGTCACATGAACGACCACATGACCACCTTTTAAAGGGTATTTTTGTCAAATCAACTCATCCCTTAATGAGAATATTGACAAATTTTCATATAAAGACCAAAATGATTTACTTTGCATAAACTCATAAACCATTTTTATCAATATTCATTATCAAAACAAAAATAGAAAATTATGTCAATCTTAAAAACCATTTTAAATAAAAAGTCAATCTCAAGTCAAACACGATGAGATAGCACACATATAACTCTTGATAAACATATGCAAAGTGCCATAAGGCCCATAACTATAAACACAATGTCCAACGAGCCCAAGTCCTCGAACTTCTCTTATCCTAAAATTGCACATTCCTTTTGCTTAACTTTGCAAAATAACTCTAAACCAATATAATTATAAAAATAAAATATAAAATAGAGATAAATGGAGCCATGGTCTTTTAATTTCTCAATTTTAGAAATTTGATTTATGAATTAAAAATTTACAATTCCCTGAACTTGTAATAATGTTGAGCAATGATCATTTTGACTAATTTTGTTAGAATTTTCATCCATTTTTTGCCTTTTTAAAATCTTTATTTTGGACGGAAGTTCTAATGAAATTAGCCAAAAAAACCTATTGATCCACATTATAACAAATTCAAGAACTAGTACTCACGAATTTTTAGTTCAAAAGTCAAAGCTCAAATTGAACTAAAGTTTAGGACCATCGCTTCACGTTTCTCTAAAAAAAATATATATATATAAATAGCCAATACATTGTAAATGCGATTGTCATAACTGCTCACCTAGAGAATGAAAAATGAAAGGCAAATTTGATTACTCGCAGTTTTCGTATATAATTGTGTACACAAGTTCGAAAGTAACATCTATCGATCAACGATCTAGGTAGAGAAAAAAAATCGATAAAAATGATCCGATTAGCAACCAAGGAGGTGCGAATGGTTGAGGTGACAAAATTGGACTACAAATGCAACTTGGCCCTAAACATATCTCCAAGGACCTGCCTAGGCTGTGGATTATCCGGTCCCCTGTCCCGCTGTCCAGACGTGAAATACAAGTAACCGTTCCAGAAACCGGTGCACGTGGTTTTTATCCGGTAGGGAAGCCTTCCGATCACTGACCAAGTCTGCAACATATAAGTAGACAGAAATTTTCAGCACAATGAATGATTTCTGATGTAAAGTTTCTAGTGATGGGAGAAGAATAGTACCAAGTTGTCCAAGCGAAATTGGAAGACCTCGCCTACGAGGATCATCCTTTTGGTCACCGGGTTCTTTTCTGTTGTCCCGCCGGTGATGATGATAGAATTGTTGACAAGAACCCAAGAGCTCTCTATGTGAGAGTCTGGTTTTGGCATAGGAGGTAAAACTTTCCATTTCATTTCGTCATCCAGCATATAAACATCGCCGTAAACCACCTGAAACAGTAAGAATCGAGGCTATAAGGAGGATAGTAGCAGGGATAAGTCATGAACATCATGGGTAGCTGATAAAATCCAAGGACGGTAGATAGTCTAATGAACACGCGATAATACCTCGTGCCTGCGTGAACATTTGAAAATTGGTGACCCAGGCTTGGGCATAAAATCACCCTCTTGACCACCAATTACAAAAAGGCGATCATTGTACACTACGCAAGCCCTGTTAGAAGATTGATTATCATGATTAGAAAACAGTAAAACGAACTCACAGGATTCAAGTTTTTCTGAGAGGAAAATTTTGAGGTCATTAAAATTGATGTCAATACAAATATCAGGGGTAGAGTCAAGAAACCTGTGAGGTCCCCCGCGTGGTATGGGTACTTCTTTCCGCCACACTCTCTCCAATGCTTTTCCATCCTTCACACCAAGACTCCAGTGCTCTGTGCCGGGCGTATGGCGGTTTTCCTTGCTGCCACCCATCACATGGAGTCTGCCTCTCCACAGTTGAGTTGCTGGAGCATACCTGCAAATTCTCTGTTAAATTAACCATATCTATTTTGACAGAGTATGGCATAAGCATGATTGACACAAGACTTAACCAAAATATATACCTAGGTGAAGGTAATGGGGGCAAACTGCTCCATTTCTTTGTCTCCGTGTCCAGCACAAATGTACGAGCTGTAGGCCCTCGGCATTGAGGACCATATTGGCCTGATACCACAAATATGTATCTTCCATCAGTGATCACTCCCAAATGGGAATGCGCCATCTCTTTCGGAGTATCCAACCTTCCCACCCATGTGTTGTCAGTGAAATTGAATATATCGACATGAGAGTGCACCTATAACGCGAAGGCGTGTAACATGAACAACAAAACCAACAATTTGAAAGGAACATCACATTGCAGTGTTGAATCGGTTTAAATTCATCAGGCATTCGAACAGAAAAGCGCAAGATAGATAAAGATCCTCACATAGTCAATGGTTCCGTATCCCGCAAACACGTAAAAGAGATTCTTAATCTGTGCTGAAGCTCCGTCTAGACGAGGCACGGGTGCTGGTGGCATAGGCTCCCATGGTAATTCAGGTGCAGCTATATCAGCAAAAGTTCCAGACAATAATCTCTGCGGAGCACGTTCCTTTCTTTCTTTCACAACTCCTTTCTGCATATCAGAAAAAAAATTCATAACCATCCAGCAACTACAAAAATACAAAACCAGAAAACCCATTTGTATATGGGAAACAGTAAAATTTCAGATATTTACCAACTACCCAAATTCCAAAACAACATAAATTACATGTCTCAAGCAAAAATTTCCCATCTTTTTCTTCTAAATTCCCAGAACCCCAGATTCAATTTGAAACAATGTGGCTGAAAATTCAATTCAATTAAAAAAAATCCAAATTGGTATCAGAAAAATGGGCATTTGATGCAATTGGCTCACCACATTAGCTTCATTGGCGGTGGCATCTGGTACAACAAAGGTCCCAGCTTTATCAAGCACCAAATTAGAAGCAATCAAGGAATACGCAGAGGAAGAATAGGAAGAAGAAGCCCAGAGGAAATCTGCAGCGAGCGCCACTCCGAGCAGAACCGCGCAAGATGTGAGAACTGCCCATTTGGCCGCGTAAAAAGGAGAATGATGAGTTTGATCTGGGGCCGTAAATCTTGTCATTTTTCATCGGAAGCCATGAATGCGCAGGAAAATATTTATAGAGAGAAAAGAGAGTGATTGGAAGAGGAGAAAATCGTCGAAGAGGAATTCAGACGAGCAAAAGAGTTGGGCGCCAATGGTTTCCATTCACTTTCGCATGTGCCTGCCGCCCCTTGGCTAATTGTTTTTTCTTTCTTTCTGGTTTTCCTTTTTCGAATTAAAATTAGCCTATTCTTTTATTTCTTCGATAGATAATCTTATATGTGTTTATACCATATTTAGGATCTCGTATTTAAATCTCGTACAAATATTTGGGGAACTTAAATGTAATTATGTGATAAAGAAATAGGCAAATATGTAATAAATGAGGAGCCTTTATTCTATAAAAGGATTCCTCACCCTCACAATTAGGGGAGGCCAACTTCTAGGCCTGAAGCCCCCTCACCCTCTCACATTACAAAGGTTCTCTCCCTCACAATCCTCTCAGAAGTACAATATCAGTGTAGATGTAGCCCAAACCTTGGGGTGAACTACGATACATTTTGTGTTATTTACATTTCATGCAGATTCACGGTCGGATTTACGTTGTACCAAGACCTCCGGTTTTGTACATCAACAGAATGTATCTAAAAAAAATTAAATAAATAATTAAGAATGAGCATAAAAGCAATTTCGTGTACAAAGTTCATTTCTTTATTGACTGTTTAGGAACCGGATTCCTTCCAGACCTAAATAAATTGAGTCTAAGGATCAAAGAATCCGGGTCGTTGAAATTTGATCCAACGGCTACAATTATTATAACTTTTAGAGAGGCCTTTTGTTTGTAGCCGTTGAATCAAATTTTAACAGTCCGAATCCTTTGCTTAGGAAGCACAGTTTATTTAGGTTCGGATGAGATCTGGTTCTGACTATTTATATCTCATATTTTGAAGAGAGACGGCTACGAACTGAAGCATCCCTACACAAGTTTTTCTCTTCTCATGATTGGTCTATATTGTGTTTTACTCCTTACAAGCGACGTCCAGGGCCCTAACAAGCCATCCATAATAAGCCCACTCTATACCATAGGCATAGGTCCAGTCCATATTCGACATTGACGAAGCTCAACATTTGGAAATGAGAGCACAATTATAAGGAAATGAGATTCTGGAGCCCGTAAATCGAGAAAATTAGACTGTTCAAGAGAAAGAAAAAAGATATGAGTTATTCAAGTTTTTAGATCATTGTACAAGTAGCCAGTAAAATAGGTTAATAAGGAGTGTAAAATTGAAATT